GTAACATTGGTTGAGGGCATTATAGAATGATATTGGGAATGTACCTGTGGGAGAGCAGCACCAAACCATTTTGTCTTGGCCAGAGTGGGGTATGAAGTGGGTGTTAAGGTCCAGCAAGGACCCCAACTCAGCAGTCTCACAGTTGAAAAGGCTCCTCCTGAAAGGAGGTGGCCAAATGGTTTGACCCCCAATCACCTCGTAAGGGCAGGAAATAGCAGTCCCATGATCTCATGCAATGAGGAACACGCTCAGAAAAGTACATCCTAGGGACCATTTGCCCGACCAAAGATGCTTCTAGAATTTGATTTGATTCCCAGTTATTTTCAAGAAAATGAATCTGATTAGAGAAAGCAAAATCGGTTCTTACAATCTCTTTACGAGCATATGAGGCTTGAGCACTAACTAAACCTTCGGAGAACCTGAAGCATCATGCCCATGTCTGTATTTGACCAGCCGCTGCCAAAGCTTACCTTCTTGGGTGGCGTAATGCCAACACCACTTGCCAAGGAGAGCCATGCTGCATTCCTTGATGTTGGTGATGCTGAAACCTCATATTTTTTTAAACAAAAAAAAATATTGAGGGGTTGTTAACTCTAGAGAAACCCATAGTTATATTTATATACACACATACATACACACATATATATGTATATCATCATCCTTGTCGTCTAAGCCTTTTCCCAACTAATTGGGGTCAGATACATATACATATATATGTACGTACGTATATTAGTTTTGAAGTGACTTAAAAAATTGAGAAATGTATAATCCACTTTTTAGTATTCTCTACAAATGCACAACGCAAACTCTATAGCTTGAAAGTCCTATAAACAATTCAAAAAATGAGATTGGAGGGCGACAATAAGAACTGAACTTAGGAATCGCCCTGGTCCTTTACTAATGAGACAAGGTGACTAGGTATAGAGGGAACTGCTCAGTTCTGGACAACCTAGGCAATTCCCCTCCTAGAGGTTCCGCGGATCCCTCCCTGCTGCTATCCCCGACTCTGCAGCGCTTTTACCCTAGCCCCCGATTGATTGGGAAATGATCTGACTTATTTTTTCAAGAAAATCCTAGAGGAAGATCCAGATGGTAGGGAGTGGGAGAGAACAACCTCAATCTGGATCAGACCAGGATGAATGGGATTGGTCTGACCTCTCGCTCGAATGGTTAACTCCCGTCGTCGACAGATGCCCCATGCCATGTTTCGTGAACAGCTATGCTCGAGAAAAAATAGAAATTGTCTTTAGGTGGTTGTTAGCTGCAAAAGTGACAAAAAAGTAAACAAGTTACACAACACCAAAGACATTGGGTTCAAAACTCAAAAACTTTGAAACTTCCCTTAGGATTGAGATCCCTTCAAACCATGATCACACCCAACTGTTAGTGGGTTGTGATCGCCTTCCAAAGTAATCAAGATTTAAGATCCATGTAGTCAGGGATCGAGATCCTTATAAGATAGGGATTGAGGTCCCTTGATGGGAGAGGTGAGCTCTGCTTAGGCTTAGGATCCAGGATCGATTTACAAGGAGGGGGGGGAGGGGGGTCTTGCCACCCTCCAACCAAGCTCCCCGCAACTAGTCCTCCTGCATGACTCTATAAGAACTCCACCATAACTTTCTTCAACTTCTTGGCAATGGATATCGGCATCCTAACAAATACTAGAATGTTGTTGAGGTAAATTGGATCATAAGTGATCCAGCCACCAAACAACGGGAATCTACAACTTCTAAGCAGCCAATTTACTTTTGATTGCCTCAACTACCCTGTGCCATTGGGATTTTATGGGTCTGCCTAGACAAAAAGGGAGGCCTAGGTAATTGTGGTGTCATCTACATGTTGCCAGTGGGAGACGGAAGGTCCACCTTGAGAGGTGACAAAACCTTTGGGCCAATTATTTCTAGCTAGAAGCTTACACAATGATAATACCTTCGATTCCAATCCAACAGAGTGCAAAAATCCATTTTTTCTCTCTTTCCAGCTATAACAAGATATCAGCATTATGTAGAGCCTCTAGAAGGCTTGGCCCTCCACATCTTTCTTTCTTTTCTTTTTTTTCCTTTTGGGGGTAGTTGCAGTAGGAATCGAACTTGAGATGTAGCATTGTTAATGCCAACTGCTAACCAGTTAAGCCCAAGACATCTAGAAACTCAGAAGACAAGCCACCAATTGGTGCATGATTAAAACGGCTCCAAAGAGGTCAAGGAATAACTCCTAAACTGCCCAAACATAAGTACAGTTAAGCAATATCCACAACCTCGTCAGTCCTTTGACACTTCAGCCACCATTTGGAATTGTGGACAATGACAATTTGCAGATGATCTTCCATAACAGGCTTATCTAGGGACGGGAACCAGATGTATGTCAAAACTCTTAGAGATGCTGAGATGATTCCAACAAAGTTTGACAGGGAGTGCTCCTTTACTAGAATGTTTAGGACTCTATAGAAGGATCTAGGCAACAAGTTTCTATTGGAATCCCATTTCCATAACAAATGATTCGTGCATTAGGAGGAATAACAATTTCCTAAAAAATGGTACGCCCGGCTACTAGGCACCCAAGACACCTGTGGCTGCCCGCCTAGACTTGGGCACCCTATTTTGGGCGGTTGTACCTGGACGGTTGCCCACGGATGTGGGCCTATTTTTAGTTTTAAAGATGCCAAAAAGGGTAAAAGGGGTAATTTTGACCCCCAAAAAGGTTTAAATAGGTTATGGGGGTTATTTCAACCCCCAAAGTTAAAAGAACACTTCCATAAGCCCTCAATCTCTTAGCTATACCTATTTTTTAGAATCAAAAATATTTTTTGTGGTTTGAAGAAGCTTCCTAAACTTTTCTTTTCTCATTGGAATTATTATCTCATATGCAAATCAAAGGCTATTAGTAATATATAGTCTATTAGACTTTTAAATTTTTTAAAATTTTGTATGGTTTGAATTTTGAAAGTTTGAACAAGTTTATTCGCAACATGCGATATGTCATGTTTATATATAAAAAAGTATGTTACAATATTTTCAAATGCAATAATTACAAAATTGACACAAATATATGCATATATGTGCGTTTGGACTATAAATATATGTATATATCTAAAGAATTTGTACTACAGGGCACTTGAGGTTCTGGGCGCCCGCCTGGGCATTAGGCGCCAGGCCAGCCACCTAGGGGCCACCTAGCACTTTTTGAAACCTTGAAGAATCAACATTGCCCTCCAGACAACCACGAGTACACAGCTCATCCATCTTTGCATCCCTAAGATTCCGATGGAACCTACAACTTATTTGGACACAGACAAGTAACATCTCAAGAAACGAGTCTGCATTGAGGCATTTCCACACTATAAGTCACCCCTTCCAAGAAGCAAAGCTAAAACACCTCCATGCCCCCAAAGCCCTAGGCTATTGGTCTAAAGGAGATCTTCCCAACACCCTTCTCCTCCACCCTTCTCAATCATACCATAGTTACCTGAGAAAACTTGAATCCAAACACTAAAGTGCCAAATCCAATTCCCCAAGAGCTTATTCACCAGCTTCAAGCTTTTATTACCTCATTGGATCTTTTAGAATTTGTTTATGATAAATAAAATACCATGACATATGTCAAGTACACATCAAGTTGCACCACTTGCAAATAAAAGTGGACATATATACAAAACATGAAGAGAGGGAGGAAAAAGAAACCATTTACATAACTTGTGTTTAATAATTGAAAGATAGAGACATTTGAATATAGAGAAATTGAATCCCTAATGAACTTTTTTAGTTTGGATACGACCAGTGTTCCAGAAAATGTTGGGCAGCATCTAGGCAGCCGGGGGGTCCTGGCTGCCCAATCACAATCCATAATCAATACTCCATAGACCATACTCCACGTTCCATTGTTCATATCATTCCATAATCCATATTTCCATTCAATGATACAATCACACAGGCATACACGTAAGACATAAAGAGTAGATAGTAGAAACTAGAAAATAAGGCAAAAAAAAATACTCTAAGACTCAACACCAAGAGTCAAGTGTCTTTAGTCATCATCATAAAAAGTACGGCAAGCCTCATCATCAGAGTCATCTCCCATTTCAACATAACATTGGTCCTCCTCTATTTCTTCTGAATTTGCCTCGTCCTCCTCTTCTTCTACCCCCCTCAACAAGGGGCATTTTCGCCCCAGGGCGCTCACCTAGGTGGGGTCCCAGGCGCCTAGGAGTCCCTAGGGACTCCCCGCCCAGGATACCTGCCTAGGCCTGGGGGATGGGCCTAGGACCCCTGGCCGCCTAGGCACTAGGCAAGCCACTTTTGATTCACTCGTTATGACTAGCATTTGAAGAGCAACATCGATAAATTGTAGGACTGTTGAATGTGAATTGGATCAGTCATTTCATAATTTTTAGGTAAATGGACGATGTCCAATGCAAATAATCTGGTATTAATGTAGGGCATGGAATTAAAAAATTTCTTCAGAATATTAAATACATATAAAGGAAGTTCCTAACATAATTTTGCAGTACAACAAATCAATACAAAGACGTGCATCTAAAGGCCTTTCATACACTCCAAAACAATGCTGCACTCACATCAAATCCACTAATAACAACGGCTACCCCTATGCAAGGCAAATTCTAGGTCACAAACTCGTAATAGATAATCCAGGATAGGTTGCTCATTAAAATGCCAAGGTACTCCCACTGAATTTTGAACGTCATGGGCAATCTGGAACATGTAAAAGACAAGGCCCCATGCACTAAGCTTATGTAAAATACTTATATTTGTTTTCTGACACAAAGAAAATGTAAAAGATGAGGCATAAAATTAGCAAAATTAAGGCTGTTAACCCAAGATCATCTATGTAGGATGCATCTCTGCCAAAGAGTTTGTTCAAGGATTTGCATACACCGACACTAAGCATTCTGCTATTAGTGTAGCCTTTCAACCCACATTTGGGAGCTTATTATACGATATATTTTAATAAGAAAACATATCGAGAGTTCAGTGATAATTTACCCAAGAAGAAAAACATATTGCCCAGTCAAGTTGTCAATATTCCTAGTCCTCTGCAATAACACCAGCTGCGGAAGGATGGCAACAGCCTCCAAATACAAAGAGAATGCCCACAAGACCTGTTTCATTTTAAAGGCATGCAAGCTTAAGGTGAGGAAAGTAATGCTGGTTAAAAGGATAACTTCAAACGTTTGATAGCACATGAAAAACCATCTAAAAGATAAAACATGAATAACATCAATTTTCCTTCAACTTATGATCATTTTCTTTTATTTTCTTATTTCAGCTTATGATTAGTTCCAAAATGAGAAAGCAATAATGGAATATATGAGCTTAAAACAGCATTAATGACTCGAACCAAATATATTACCTCCCTGAAAGTGAATTTCTCATTGATAAGTAATGCCAAAACTAGGCAAGGTAAAATCAAAAAATAGTGTCGGAAGGTGTCTTGGTCTTTATCGTAAGATCTTCGGACAATCTTGTGATGACGCATATACCACACGATAGAATACGAGCTTCCCAAGAAAATTATTTTCATTGCACTGTTATAAAGCGATATGTAGTTGGTAAATAGGTCCAAATACCGAGTCATAAAAACAAGAGTGTATAGTTCCTGCGTCTTCAAAGAAACCCCTGCATACAGTGACATAGGACAAAATTATAACTCCTTTATATTTATTTCATTTACCAAAGATGAAAAGACCCTTCCAGGAACAGGAAAAAAAAAGACCTTAGAGATTTTTGAATCCTATAATACATAAGGAGACTAGACCCATTGAATAAACAAGACATAACTTATACATTAGAGATATAATTTTGACACCAGTAGAAGGTCATAATAATTCCATTACAGGTGCAAGAAACTCCAGAACTCACACGCCACATGGATTACAAAGGCACAAATATAGGAGCCAAAATTGCATTTCAAACTTCCAAATGGGACAACAAGTTGCCAAACATTGGCGGTCAAAGACATCATATTCATGTGGTCAAACATAATACATATAAGGACTTGGACAGTCGTAGAATTGGTTGATGGCAATGTCAAAAAAGGCGGCTAGGCAGCCGTCTAGGCAGGTGCCCAGACACCTGGGTGGCCCTGCGGTGTTGGAGTGGGTGGTCCATGTATGTATTGCTCGTGCGTGTTTGTGAGTGCCGTGTGTAAGGCCCCAAATGAAATACTTAAGATCATCTGAGGGTGTGCATGTCTATGTGTGCACGTGTGTAAGGCCTTGCATAACATACTTAAACGTCATCTTTTTATTTCTTATCTCATATGTAAAGTAAGCGCAAGTATATGGAACCATGTTTGTGAGAGAGAGGCCTTGAACACTGGGAGGACATTCTTTTTCTTCTTCTAATATGTCAAGATAGATAGATAGAGAGAGAGAGAGAGGGACCTTGCATCGAGCACCTGGAGGTCATCTTCTTCTTTTTCTTCTTCTTACATGTAAAGAGCGAGCATATGGGTCCAAATCTGTCTTTGTGTGTATATGTGTGTGTGAGAGAAAGAGGCCTCCAATCAAACTCTTGGAGGCCATCGTCTTTTTCTTCTTATATGTAGAGAGAGCACATGGACCCATGAGAGTGTGAGAGAAGGGGAGAGAGAGAGGCCCAAATGCGCCTTGACTTGTTTTCCAAGGCAACTTTCATAAAATTTAAAACAAAAAATTATGGGGTCTGCACAAAACGGGCGCCCAGACCCGCCTAGGCGCTCACCTTGAGCCCGCCTACGCAGGCAGAGATGAACTTTTTCAACACTGGTTGATGGAGATGCAGCACCTTAATTGACATTCCCAATTTTGTGATTCCACAAGGAACACAGATGAACTTGGCTTGGACAGAAAACCACAGAAGTATTGGTAGACATTATTGATCTACAATGCAGACTCTCATTTGTCTTGAGTGCCAAGTAAAACAGAGTCCATAAAAATATAGTCAAGAACTTATCATTAAAATTTGTTCCATTTAAACAAATGACTGAACTATCAAAAATGCCAGTAAGAAATAACCATATGCATGAATGCTTGATGAAGGGACTCCCTTTTTCTTTTTCTTTTTTGTTTTGGGGCTGCCAAGCATAATCTCTTTGCATACTGATTTATCAAGTAGGTGAAATTTCAATAACAAGAAATTACAATGGATAACCACAAGTACATTCTTCATCATAAATAATTTGAAAAAATTAAAAAAAAAAAAAAGATCGGCCAATCATGTTTTTAGTGATCCACCCAAAATATGAGCTGATTATTAACAATCATATGATTTAAATAAAAATTGACAAATGGGCCGTGTCAGTTTTGGCCCAATCTGCCCCATTTGTACATATGACAAGGGCCTGTTGAGCCTTAAAATTAAGGCCACGGCCAGCCCTGGCTCGAGATGCCCCATGAAGGGGCATGGAAGCAATCCATGCCACACTGGGCCCGAGCCTGTTAGACTGGCCCAACATGCTTGCAGGCCTAACAACAATTACCGAAAGATAACAAATTCGAAATGTCCAAAAGTGCCATCTACTAGAAAAGTATACCTTACATATGGTAACTAAATTAGAAAAGCTCACACCTTGAACCATTGGCTTTCTAAATGATATCTAAATGATGTTGAAAGGCAACCATGGTTTGACACCCACATTAAAGGTAAATGATGTTCGGCAGACAATGTGTTCTGCTAAGAATTAGTTTCTCTATCACTTGGGATTAAACAGGGTAAATTCCACTCAAATGCATTAGTTTCACTATGTGAGCCATCTTCAAGCACTCATCAATTGCATATAGAGGCAGCCCCTAAGAAAGGTCACTATCAAGTGGAGCCCAACACAAGAACTTAGATTTAGAGGGCGGACAACCAAAGCTTTCAAGGTAGTTCTGCCTTAGTTGCAGTGTCACGTGGACACCAACACAGGTGCTGTATCTAGCGTCTTAAGTGTCTAGTACTTTGAGCTGAAACGCTAGTATGACAAAGACATGTCCGTACACGTATTTTATATGATTATCGCATAATATATTTATATATAATTCAAACAAGAAAGGAAATTATTAAAATAAGATAAAATTATATTTATTTCATAGTCACATATTATTCTAAAAAATTATTTCATAAAAAATTCTAAATATTGTCTTTGTAGTAATAATGCTTATTTTGATTCCCTACTAATTATAAAATTTTGCACATTCTGTCACAATATCATTGATAGCATATCGATAACATGTTAGACTTTAAGCTCAATCTCCCAACGTCCCTTTTGACATAGGCGTGTTTTATATAAGATAAAGCTCTTTAGTATTGACATGTACAGGGCAATAAATGATGCTACCACCCTGTGATGGGCATTGAAAGCTTCAACAAATAACAATAAGGAATTCCTATCTTAAAGGATTTAAATGGACAACATCTATAGCAAGTATTAAATGTTGATATGTAAATAAAAAATTTCTTAAAAACGAAAAAAATGAATCAGACACTTTGTTAAAAGTTTTAGACACTATTTAATAGATAGACAACCGATATGTACAAAACATGTGCCAGAGACGTGTCTGGGCGTGTCAAAAAGTGCCCAAGTGTTGACATGTGACGACACATGACACCAGCCAAAACTTGGAGAGTCTAGTTCTCACTAGTTAATTGACTGCATATGCAGTCTGTCCTTACATAGACATATTTCATGTGCTTCAAAGCAACCTAAGACGTGTCACGAGCATACATGCAGCTCATATTTATGCAAGGGATTTTCATTACTAAACCATTGTCATGATTGAAGATGAATAGCACGATTGTATTACTTAACAGCAATTGTGACCTATTGCAAACAAACAAGTCAGAATGTTTTCATCTTTGGAAACATGGGATGTGGTTAAAAATCAAAGCAACTATATACTTCAATAAGGGCTAGCTTCTCTTTTGAATGTGGTTAAAAATCAAAGCAAATCCATCCTTCTACTAGGGCTAGTTTTCTTGATGCTATATTATTCAAGGAATGCTTCCATCAGAGATAAGAGTGCAAGCATTCTTCACCAAATGCATTTTCTTAACTGTGAAATTTGCTTTGTCACGGTTAAAATGAAATCCTACGCCAACTACCGCACAGTCTATATGAAATTTTCTGCAATTGAGCACAAACCACACCTTTTCTCAATTCTCATTTCATGGTATTAGGAAGTCTTCATCTTTAATACTAGGTACTACCTCCATTCCTTACTGATAAAGAAAAAAAAAGAGAATAAAAAAAAACATATAAAAAAAAATACCAGCTCTATTCCTGCAAAGAAATTATATGTGTTATGACCGCTTAAACATGGTATGATACGTCCTCATATTAGTTTGTGGAAGTAGCCAAAAATGTAGAATAGCAGCTCAAGCTTAATGAATCGCAGTCACATTACAATTTACAGTAAGGTAGATACAGACCACTTTGACATTATGCCTCCTTTGGGTATCATCTCTTGTTTCTAGTTTAAGTGTTTGTCATCACAAACATCACATTCCATCCAAATCTTACTCCACAATGGAAACAAACTCCAGCTGCAATAAGTTGCTGCTATGAATGATAAAATTGAGCATTCGACTTTGAATTCAACAAGGGTTTGTAAGTGAAATTTTTGGACATATGATGCGACTATCTGAACTGTTCAAAGTTGTTCAAAGTACAGCTAGACTCATACATTGGCCATGAGTTATCAGGGCCATTAAATTCAAGGTTAGATTCAATTGTGAACTTTCAGACTTGTCTTCGTTAGAGAGTTCTATGAAGCAACTTTGTAAACTAATGGTAATATTTTCACCATGAAAGGACAACAAGAATTCTTAAAGTCACTGCTAGTCTAGAAAGCAGGTTCTCACATTCCCTCACTTTATCTTCTATATCAATAAGCAGGTTCCACTTGTCTATGTTATCTAACACCCTTGGAACCCAAAGATGTCATAGTCAAAAATAAATAAATCTCGATCCCCATAAATAAATGCAATTGAATCAATGTGCCCCACCATTATCCATATATCACACAATACATTTTTTTTTTTTTAAGAAAAAAATTAAGAATGCAATACTTGTAGCAGATTGAATCAAACAATAACGAGAATATGCCATGACCATGTACAATCACTGAATACTCAACTACAACTATGGAATGCAAGCACGAATGTCAAGTACTACATATCTCTTCACTTCTAAACAAGCAAAATTGTATATATACCTAGATCTGAGAGGAAAATCACAACACTAAAGCGCATAAAAAGAATCAAAACCTATATTGTATGAATCTCACGCCCAATAACCAAATATTCAACAAAACAAATTTACAGGACATCAACGAACATAAGATAGTGAAATTCAACCAAAACAAAATCCTTGAAACAGAGAGAAATAGGGAAGAACACAGACCAGCACAGGATTTAATGGTGTGGATTTTCAGAAGCAGCACCAAAACGCTCATAAGATGGGTCATATCCCCCGCTAGCCTGAAGATATTCATTTTCCCACCCCACTGCAACTCTGAAACAAACGCACTGACCTCAAATGGCGACGACTCTTAGGGTTTCTAGCAGAGAGAAAAAGAGTCGGAGGCAATGTATACTGAATTGATCTAGAGAGATAGTGAGAGAGTCTTGACTTACCACTGCTGTGTGCAATGCGATGTACAGATCGGCCTCCTCTCTCTCTCTCTCTCTCTCTCTCTAGAAACCAAGGGAGATGGAAATAGAATCGGACATATTTAAAAGCAAAGCAGGAAATTGTTAGAAAGAGAGTGTGTGTTAGAGCGAGAGCGATGGTACAGTGGAGCAACTTCTCGCTAGCATTTTTGCTGAAATTCGAAGAATGTCCCTCGGTGGTCGGTAACGTAACGTCTACCCCACCTCGCTGAATGCTCTTTCATGGGAAATCACCGATCATACCTCTGTCAAACATCCAAAGTACTCCAACGTCCTTTAAATTCTAAACGAAACTTTAGGGCCTATTTCGCAATGCGAAAACCAATCAAATTTGAGCCTACATTAAAATTTTCACTAGAAGAGGTTGTTTTGATGTTCAAATATCTTTAAATTCATATCTCGATATCAAAAGCATAGACACAAGAAAAAAATAGATTTTAAGTTTTAAAAATAGTATATTTTGTAACGTATTTTTTGACCGTCAATTTTCAAGATTTTCAAATTTCATAAATATGTTGATCTACACTATTTTTGAAGCTTTAAACTTTATAAATGAAAATAAAAATATATTTTAAGGCTATCACAAAGATTTTTAATATTGAAACCACATTTCTCGACACTAGTTGAAGGTAGGCTCTAATAAGATTGTTTAGAGCCTAGGCTTTGTATAAATCGTGCCCTTTGGCAATTAACATTATAGAAATTTTTGGAACTACTTTTATTGAAAGAAAATGTTTCATGAGTTGTGCATGCCTACAGACTTACAAACGTCAATCTTTAAGGTTGATGTTATTTAAAGGACATGCTTTTTGTAGAAATGTGCACTTGACAATAAATATATTTTTAAAATATAATTTGATCCCTTATAGATAATATATAATATTTAACATGGAGAACATGAATATAAAAAGAAAAAAAAATTGAAAACTAAAAATAATGATTATATTAAGAAAACAATTGATCTGTTAGTCACACTTGTTTTTAGATGGCCTGCCTATTTGCATCCGTCTTTAAGATAGATGCTTTATACCACTAGAGCGCATATTGTGAAAATACGATCCAGCCCGGATGAAACATTTTTTCCTTATAAAAATGTTTGGAACTACTTTTTATTAAGGAAAATTAGATGGATGCATTTATTCCGTCTAATTAGATAGATGTGAAAGTAGGTGGTCACAATTAATCTTGACCATTGGATGTAAAATTAAATGGATGCATTTATTCTATTGACCAAGCTCAAACTTCAAAACAAGTTTTTTCAAATTTTTTGACACACCTAATCTATCAAATTTCACATCGGATAGTTGTAAATCATTGTGACTTCTGCGTCTCAAAAGTAAATGGTCTCATCAGATTGAATATGGGCTGATTTGATCGCCGAGAGTGTTTAAATTTTAATTTTTTTTTTCTACAAATCTAAATCACTTGAAATACTAGCTGAAGTTCTTCTCATTAAGCCGCACCTAATAAAAATATAAAAATAATAATCCGTAAAATTAAAAATGACCAAAATACCCCCCAAAATTTATGGGGGTATTTTTATCATTTGTTTTCATGTAAAAATTGTTTTTAATATTGTTCAAAAATTCACCTATTTTTTTATCAACACAGGTCTAAAATTTCAAGTGATTTGGATTTGTAGAAAAAAATTAAAATTCAAATACTATCGGGCATCCGTGATCGTTAGATCGACCCAGATTCAATTTGAGCCGTTGGACTCATTTTTTTCTGTGAGCTAGGGGGCTCACCATAGCATCTTCCATATATATAGATATATATATGGAAAAAGTTTATATAATGTTGCAACTTTATAATATATAAATTAAAGATGCGCCTTAGAAATCTATCGGAAAAAATTGTTTTAATGTTGAAAAACACTCTAATTGATCATCTGGGCATCGAGATGTATGAATATGAAAAAAGAAAAAGATTTTGAGTCCTAAAAATAGTGCATCTTGCAACATATTATTTAGAATGTCCATTTTCAAGATTTTCATATGGTTATAGATATACTTGATTTTAACTATTTTTGGAGTTTAAAATTTTATATTTTGATATGCAAATAGTTTTTCAGATAATCCTAATAAACATTTACACCAAAATTACATATTATGATAAAATTTGGATGTACGCCTTAATTGGATTGTTTAAGGTTGCAACCTTGTAGAAACCACACCATATATATATATATATATATACTGAAAGAGACCTCTTGGATAGACTAGTCAATGCTTGTATATTTTCAAAATTTGATCTCAAATCAGGCTATTGACAAATCCAGATTGCCGAAAAAGATAATATAAAACTGTTTTTAAAGTTCAATTTGGACAATTTGAATGAAATGTTATGCCGTTTGGATTAAAGAATCTACCATCGGAATTCCAAAATATCATGAACGAGATTTTTAATCCTTATACCAAATTTATGATTGTCTATATTGATGATGTACTTGTTTTCTCTGAATCAATTGATCAAAAACACTTAAGTACATTCATAAAAGCAATAAAAAATGCTGGCTTAGTAGTTTCCGCAAGAAAAATAAATCTATGCCAAAGAAAAATTATATTTTTAGGGCACAATATTTTTCAAGGAAGAATTATTCCCATTTATAGAGCTATAAAATTTGCATCCAAATTCCCAAATATAATTACAGGAAAGACTGAATTACAAAGGTCCAAAATTGTAAATATGTAAACCTAGTAGACAAAATCATAACTCAAAAATGGTTTACCAATATCAAAATCGTAGTTCAAAAGGAATACAGCTTTCAAACTACCGCCCTGATAAATTCAGGAGCAGACCTAAATTGCATCAATGAAAGCTTAGTACCAACTAAATACTTCAGCGAGACTACCCAAATCCTTAATACTGCAGATGACAGCAAAATGCTTATAAACTATAAATTATTAGATACTGCAATATGCAATAATGGTGCTTGTTTCAATTTTCCATTCATAATGGTAAAATAATTAAGTCAACCTGTTATTCTAGATACTCCTTTTTAAAAAATGCTCTATCCAAATAGGATTGATGACACATGGATAAAAGCTAGTATTGAAGGGCATAAGGTTAAATTTACCTTTATTGAAAAGCCCAGAGTCCATGAAATTAATAACATTAAAAATAAAATTTCTTCTAAAGAAAAATTTCTGTATTATCTGAAAGAAGAAATAAAATGCAAAAATATAGAAGAAAAGTTGTCTCTTCCTGAGATTCAAACTAAAATAAAGTCTCTGAAATCAGAAATGGAAAGAGAAATATGTGTCGATGTCCTCAATGCCTTTTGGGATAGAAAACAACATATAGTAGAACTTCCTTATGAACCAGATTTTCGAGAGGGAAAAATTCCTACTAAGGCAAGGCCTATTCAAATGAATAATATGTTACTCGAAATTTACAAAAAAGAAATAAAAGAATTATTAGATAAAAGGCTTATCAAGAAAAGCTCATCTCCATGGAGCTGTTCAGCCTTTTATGTGGAAAATGCCTCAGAAATAGAAAGAGGGGCTCCAAGATTGGTTATAAATTACAAACCACTTAACAAAGTGTTAAGATGGATCAGATATCCAATCCCAAACAAAAGGTAAATAATCTAAAGCAATTGGTCAGGTTTACCTCTAAAACCTATAACCCAGCTCAACAAAATTATTCAATAGTAAAAAAGGAAATACTCATAATTGTTCATGTTATTACGAAATTTCAAAGTGATCTGCTTAATCAATCATTCCTTATAAGAACTGATTGTAAAGCAGCTGAGGACATCCTGCAGAAAGATGTAAAAAATCTTATGTCAAAGCAGATATTTGCAAGATGACAAGGGAAAACAAAAGGAGCCAACAAAACCAAAAGCCGAAGATGGACATAGTCCCTAGTCCAGGATCATCCCCGGCATCTCCATCAATACCAAATGCTCTAATAAGGAGACAAATACAAGATATTGATATATTTCCTCTTCAAACACCAATAAGCACTTAAACTCCTAGTGCAAAATCTATATATTTAAAAACAACATATATTTCCTTGCTGATCATTGAAAATGAGCATCAGTCAAAAACTCTGACGAAAATAGCCGCCTCATACCTCAGGCAGCATATGCATCCTAATATGGGTGAAAAATGCAGAGAATGGTACGAATGTATCCTGATAGAAATAAGATCAGTTTTTATAGTTCATCATTCTAAAAATAACGATAATGAAATAGCATATTCAAAGTTCCAAATAAAAAAAGTTATTACTTACAAAGAATGAGGACTGGATCCTTTAGAGCCAAGGATCATGAATACAAAAGGATTTAAAATCAAATCTTACCATTACTATGATTACATAAAGGCTTGGGATGAAGTCTTCTCATACCGGAATACAAAAAAATTCCTATAGCTGGTATCTTCAGTTCAAACTAACTGAGCCAAATAATTTTCCAAATTGGTTTAAAAATTGGTTCTCCATACGGGGATCCACAAACCAAATACTACCAAAAGAACTACATATTTCACAGAGAAAATTCTCTGACTATAATAAAAAAAGTCTAAAAAGAGACTACCACATATATTTTATGACCTTATATCAGGTCCCATGGATTTTAAAATTGGAGTATCGAGTCTCAGTAGATGATATGAATAGATGGGATTATATCCCTGGATTACAAAGACAAATCCATATCAAATGGTGGGATAATTATAAAAATGACTCCTTAAATCTAGAAAAAATTAAAATGAAATTTATACCTTCAATTTCACCCCAAAAGATGGAAATATCAGAATATGTTGCAATATTACAGCAACAAAACCCCAAACTGTCCAAAGAAGAGCTTAAAATAAAGCTCTGGAATGCCATAGAAAATAATGAAGACAAAATATCCACCTTTACACAAAGTGACGACCAAGAAGATTATACTCTGATGAACGGTGACGATTGTGCCGGCATCGAATTTTCTTCAAATTAAAGAAAATTCAGGAGGGACCAGAACGACTCCAATCTATCAAGGACACGTGTCCCAGCCACTGTAGCCACCATCCGACAACATCTTACTGTAGCCACCAGTTGACAACATCTTACAATAGCCACACCAGCCGATAGCATCTTACTGTAGCCACCAGCCGACAGCATCTTACTGTAGCCACTATCAGCCGACAGCATCTTACTGTAGCCACCAGCCGACAACATCTT